ATTAATTCAAGAAGATTAGGTATTTAGAGGGTTTTGTGGGTTTTCTTTGCACAAACCGAAAGTATGTATAAAATTCTTGTGTAATGTTACTATGTAAGATCAGTCAGTGTAACATCTTACCTGACTGTTATATATAAACTGTCGCGTCTAACTAATCATTCGTCTATAGAACCAATTAAAAAAGTAGGTAAAAAGAATTTAATAGTATAAATCTACTAAAACTTTTAAAATTTTTAGTTAATTTCATAATATTTGTTTAATTTACTTATATTTTTATTAAAAAATATTTAGTAAAACTGCTTGGCATAAAATGTCGGTATGTAATATCAATTATATATAAAACAATAAATTTTTAATATATATTATAAAAGAAATAACTTATCAATTCTTTTATTATATTAGTTAGTTGTAGAAGGACTTTCATATAGCTGTTCTATTTGCAGAAAATGCTTTAAAACAAAAAGGGGTTTAATGCGCCACGATGCTATTGTTCATGGATATAATAAAAACCCTTCTGGTATATACAAACTTTTTTTAAAAGCAAACAATGAATTAAAAAAAATTCTTGTTAAACATATTCAAGATCGATTGAAAAAACATTTTACATATTCAGGCTTACAAAGAGTATTAATACCATGTACATTAAGTCAGTTTTATAGTATATTTAAAGGTTATATTCATCGTCGGTTTTCAAAATCTGGAAGAGTAAGATGTATATTTCAGGGTGAAAATGCATATTCTATAATTGGCCAAATCTTGAATGATGAACAATGGGGAATCAAGTATTTTGCTAATAATCAACAAACTTATGTTATCTTTCGGCCTTCTCATGAACGAGCACCATGTTCTAAGCAAAAACAAGTTAAACTAAGAATTATGCAAGTTGTAGTAGACTGTTATCAAAAAGCTAAAGCTGATACACATGAACATATTACTTGGTCCGGGTATATTAGTTTTAGATTTTTTGTTGCAAGAGGTCATTTTTAGTATTTTTTTGATAAAGTAAGTATAGGTTTAAT